TTAACCTCAGCATGTACAAAGTTACACTCCAAATGGAAGACTATCCACACATTCTCTATCACTTTCAAGGACTGTACAGCATAGGAAAAGCCTACTTAACTGTGCTCTTGAATTTAAAGATGCTAGTTGCCACTAGCCTTTGTATTAGCCTTTTCTTAAAATATCAACTTTTTCTGAGGATTTCTAGATTCCATTTTGGCCTTCTTAGTTCAAACATATTTTATATTTGAGCCAACCGAAAGAATCAGATATACAACTAATGAGGATATCATTATAGAAATCAATTGGATTTTCCTCAATCAATCAGTATGAGTTTCCTAAACCCCAATTTATCAAGATGGTAAATCACATTCCAAAGGGGAACTTGGAGTAGTCAGCACCAATCAGGTCTAACCCAGCAGCAGTACAGGAAATCCCAACACCTGAGTGGTCACCATCTCAAGCAACACCTATCAAGCAAGCATTTGTATGACTTAGCTGCAGAGTTGACAACATTTCAGATATTAATACTCTTAAAAATAATCTTTAGTAAAGTCAGCTCAATAGTGTTGGAGGAGATGCTGGTGCCCAAACATCACAACAAATTGCCCACGGCTACTTTCTGACAGACATTAGCAACCTACCTTGTTGGTATGTTTGAGACCTATGAAGGAGTCCCATGAAGATGGAAAGATGTTGTTGAGGTATTTGCTCTTTCTCCCAAACTCTTTCTGATTCTGTTACTTTAAACCTTCTCTTCCTCTTTAAATCCCCCTCCCAAACAACCCTGTCTTGTCTGGATCAGCGATTCAGTCATCCATAATCTGGCTCCTCTGAGTAACACATATCTGTCTATTACATTGTACGTGTACTGGAAACAGATCAAGAACCTGCGCTGCACTCGAGCCCTCAGCTAAATGGGCAGCCCTGCCGTTCCACCACTTTCAAAACTGACACTACCAGTTATCTCCACAAACACTCCAGGGCTCACTGGTGCCAAACAGGACGGCCCTGCAAGGAAGTTCATGGGCTGTAAATGGTATGTGGTGTCATAACAAGCAATCATGTGCCAAGACTCCTGGGCTGACGTTAACCACTGAAAGACAACTTGGGAAATGCGGTGAGTCCATCCTCGTGAAACCGGAGCTCCCAGGGAGCACAGCACTTAAAGCTGCCATTCAGGAGTCTTTGGGGGAGGAAAACCTGGATGTTTACAAAGCTGAAGATGTTAGTTAGTCAGACTCCCTTCTGTAACTCTGGGCTCCAATAAATATGACCAGTGTCACCACCCGAGCAAAGACAGCACCTAAGTTTCCCACCTACAGCATATCAAGAACTCAAAACAAAGGTCACGATAGTACGATGAAGGACGACTCCAAGGTACATCCCTATCATCTGCAATGTCCCATCTGAATGACAGCATCTCACTGCGGGGCACAAAGCAGGAAGGCAAGGCAGCAGAGAAGGGCAGAGACAATCGGGAGGAGACGAGAGACAGCAGCAATATGTATCTTGGTAAACGGAACTATAAAGCTAGTTCTTTGCTTTATTTCTTTTCTCCCATATTTTACCCTAGTTCGACACGCCAGTTCATTCCTCCAGTTCTGGGTGTCTCAAATATTTGAATAAGAATAAAATGAAAGAAAAAAATCTCATTAACAAGGAATTTTCCATTAAAGATTTGTAGAATGTACAAAAATGGCAATTTGACAGAGAAGTCATTCAATTCCTAGCTCTCCTGCCACTCAGTTCACTCTCTAACAATAATCTCTAAGACTCACAATGCAGGGAGGCTTTCATACACACAGCCTCATTCAATCCTGACGGCAGCTCTGAAGGAGGCAGATTTCCACAGCAACCCAAGGCTGCAGTCACTCAGCTGGCAGTGAGGGGGGAGTTAAATGCAAGCCTCATATTCAGCTGTGTCCTGCCTATACTTAACCTTATACCTGTCATAATGGAGGAGGCCCTTTCTGTTCAATACAGCTCAAGTTCCTCCACCTTAGATCACATAGCCTAGCTGTTTTGAAAGGTGACTTTTAGAATGAATCACCGTAATGGCTGAGCAGACTGCCTGAACCACCAATCTGGCTACAAGTCAGATAAAGGGTCGGGAGTCAGCGGTTAAAAGGACAGAGCACTGGCTCAATCTGTTAAAATTACAGAGGACCTCACCCGAAGCACTGCTGACATGGAGAACTGGCCTCAGAACACACTGCCATTATTAAAGGAGAGCAAGCTAGAACTGAAATCAAAGAGCATGCCTTCTGATTTTTAGGGCAACTAGCTCCCTCTGGTGGAGAGAAATCTCAACTACACCATCACAAGCTTCCTCTCAAACCACAGCACTGCCAAAACCGGGAGGGCAGCTGACCTTTAGGAGCAAACGTCTTGAGACCTACTTAGCTCATCCTTAATGACCCAGATCGAGTCAACAATGCTACATCTGCAGGTCTCTTAGCTGGGGAAGGGGTCTGCAGGAGTCATAAGCACAGACCAAACACAACCACAGAGCACACTGAGGACAATGGCACACACACCTATACTCAGAACCAACAGTCAGTTTCTAAATACAAGCACAGAGCACACTGAGGACAATGGCACACACACCTATACTCAGAACCAACAGTCAGTTTCTAAACACAACCACAGAGCACACTGAGGACAATGGCACACACACCTATACTCAGAACCAACAGTCAGTTTCTAAACACAACCACAGAGCACACTGAGGACAATGGCACACACACCTATACTTTAGAACCAATAGTCAGTTTCTAAATACAAGCACAGAGCACACTGAGGACAATGGCACACACACCTATACTTTAGAACCAATAGTCTCTAAATACAAGCACAGAGCACACTGAGGACAATGGCACACACACCTATACTTAGAACCAATAGTCTAGTTTCTAAATTTACAATGGCAGGTTTTCCGCTCTGGTAGAAACTATCCAAACTCTAACAAAGCTTAACCACAAAAACACTTAATAAACTGGTCTTACTGCCTATTACATAATAATCACTCTATCACATGCTGAACAAAGGAGTGAACAGCAGCTGACTGGGCTGCTTGAAGACAGCTTTTAGGGACTGATGCAGAAGAGCCCATAACTACTTCAGTTGGACTGAGGTAAAAAATAGCTCCTGTACGATCAGTGAGAGCAGTAAACCAAATGACTGTCAGCAATACAGCCCAAAGGCTCCCCCTCCCGGGACACGCAGCACTGGACAGCAGCCGGCGGCTTAGGCGAATGATCTGGGTATGCCCATGTGGAAGGCGCTCAGCAACAATGATGGCAAGGCCACAGGCACAGCACCTTTTGTGTACACCATAGTAAACCAAATATTTAGCTGTGATGTCTGTACTTTAAAAACACCCCAGGCTAAGAATACAGCTTGGGGTGGGGTGGGGTCGGGGTACAATTTGGGGGTAAAAGTGTGTGTTTAACATATATATATATATATATATATATATATATATATATATATAAGGCCGTGGGTTTGACAGTCAACACAAAAATAAACTCAAGTGAAATACACTCAAAACTGTAAACAGTAATAGTTTTTAGGAGAAGAAACCTGGAGAAGGAAAGTGTAGCTGGATTTTTTTTTTAAACTCTTTTGGGGCCACCACCCAGCTCCGAAATAAATACACCGAGATTTATTCTTAAACTATGAATGCACAGTCTTAGGTTGGCTTATTTCTAGCCTGTTTTTCTAACTTAAATTACCCTGTTTCTCTTTAACTACATTTTGCCTCTGAGCTTTTAACCTTTCCTTATTCTACATATCTTTCTTTCCTTCTTACTCTATGACTGGCTGGGTGGCTGGCCCCTGGCATCCTCCTCTCCTCCTTTTCTTACTCTTCCCTCTTTCCCTATTCTCAAGCCCAGATTTTTATTTCTCGTCCTATTTATTCTTTCTGCTTGGCAGCCCCGCCTATCCTTTCTCCTGCATTGCTATTGGCTGTTCAGTTCTTTATTAGACAATCAGGTGTTTTAGGCAGGCAAAGTAACACAGCTTTACAGAGTTAAACAAATGTAACATAAAAGAATACAACACATCTTTGCACCATCAAACAAGTATTCCATAGCATAAACAAATGTAAAGCCCCTTAAACCAATATTCCACAACAGGGAAGTTTACATTCCATTTACTGTTCTCCAGAATATTTATTCTTGCCTATGCACTCCGTTCATTAAATGCTGAAATTTAGTTTTAGTATATAAAGAAAAGCCAAATCACCTATCAGATAACATAGGACTCTTGCTCTGATCTAACTGAAACCATTATGACCCTACTGTACAGACTTAGAACAAGCAGCTTGTGCTGGACCAATGATGAGAACATACGCACCCAAGAAAGGACTCTGGTAATGCTTATCTTCACATGGGACAGTCACCTCTTGTGAAATCCCCCCTCAACATTCTCCAGTACAAACTGTTTCACCATGCTCTGGAAACTGTGATGGAAAGACAGCTATTCTGGCTTCCTCATCCCACTACCTGAGAATAAACAGAGGAGGCCACATCCAATTCATGTAAGAGCAAAGGCATAGCCTGCGTCTCCCCTACTCATACTCATGTGTCCTCAGCACAGGGGCACGGTCGTATCTCTCAAGCACATTCTTCAACTATGAATGTATGTCAATATCCTTATTTCTAAAAATCAATCAATTCAAAAACTTAAAAAGATACCACTGAGTCTAAGGTAAAATCTACTTCATAAGAATTTTCCAACAAACAATAACTGAATGATTTAGTGTGGAATTTTAAAGCACAGGACTAACACCTGGAACCTGTGCATGCAGCACAGGCTATGGTACCTTACAGTTTAAATACCAGCAGAGAAAAGCAAACAAATGAGGCACAATTAGCAACCAAAAATCCCATTTTCACAATGAAAAGCAATTAAAATCATATGCCATACAACATGAAAGGCAGTGGCTTGGCACAGCAATGAGAGTTTTAAAAATCACAAATGTTCACAATGAAACACTCATTTGAGTTTCTTACCTAATGCAGCATCATCTCCTTGTTCTTGGCTCTTTCCCAAAGAGGCCATCATTTTTGCATGTGCATCATTCCACCAAGGATTGTACTTCAAAATCTGTTCGACTGCCTCATCTTCAAAGAAGTCAGCTCTGCTCAAAAATGAATGGGCTTATTACATCAGATTTCACTGGTTTCCTTTCTTTTTTTATAATCTTAATTTATCACATTTGCACAGAAATAGAGATTACATCAACTCAATACACAACCTGAGAGAAGACTGAGAGTTGCGCTGACTTTTTCTATGGTCACCAATGCCATAAAGGAAAAGGCAACTAAACTGAAGGAACAGTAGTCGTTTCTGATGTCTTCCACAAAAGGCACGAGGAGGAGCCTCCTACCCTGACTGCGCTGCAGTCTGGAACCAATGCTGGGTTCATGAGCAGCCCAGATCTGAGAGATGCTATGATAAAGGAAAGACCTTTCAGACCCAGCCGCAGAAACACAAACAGATGAACAGGTAATTCAGGACGCGTATATTTCCACAGGCAACTAATGACTGCTGAGAAGGGGAAATTAGTCTTTTCCGGGGATGAGCCCCCACGTGGTTATCTAATATAAACGACCAGCCCTAAAATCACACACATAGAGGCAACATTAAAAAGACTCACAGGCTTGGGGCATGAGAGAGAGAAAGAGAATAATAATGAAAGAAAAAGAGGTCATAAATTTGAGAGAGTATGGAGAAAGGTATCAGAGCCATTAAGAGGGAAAGGACAAGGGAAATGTTGGAGGAAGAAAGGGGGAAAATGGTACATTATATTTTAATTTAAAATTTAAAAATTATCAAGAAGAAAAAGGAAAGACTTTGTGCCATATTCTAAGATCCACGTTAGGCACTAGGTTCCTCTCTCTGTTCACAAGATACAAACTGCCCTGGCCCTTGTACAATTTATAGTCCCACCGGAGACACAAGTATAGCAGAATGCCGTAACACAGCAGCAAAAAAAATCCTATAGCAAAACAAAACTGACACATTTAAGGGCCTTGGGGGAAATACTATTTCAATCAACAGTTGAAAGACAATTAAGAATTCACATTAAGGGGGCTGGCGAGATGGCTCAGGGGTTAAAAGCACTGGCTGCTCTTCTAGAGAACCCGGGTTCAATTCCCAGCATCCACATGGCAGTTCACAACTGTCTGTAATTCCTGTTCCAGGGGATCCACTGCCCTCACACAGACATACATACAGGCAAAACACCAATGTACATAAAATACAAATGAATAAAATATTTTTTTAAAAAAGATTTCATATTAAGAGAGTTAGGAGAGGAACTGGAGAGACAGCTCAGCAGTTAACAGCAGGCACTGCCTTTGCAGAGGATCTGATTTGGGTTCCCAGACTCCTCACAAGGCAGCTCACAACCACCTGTCACTCTGGCTCCAAGGATTCACCTCCCTCTTCGGGCCTCTATAGGCACTGCATCCTGTGCACAACCCCACACTCAGATCACACATGGATGCATAATTTAAACTAGAAAATAAAATCTAAAAAAATAAGAGTAGCCTGAGCTCAAAAAACAGAAATACCTAGAAAACAAGGATCACATTGAAGAAGAATTGCCAAGATAAGTTGAAAATAAGATACTGATAACAATAACCTTCAGGCATGTCTGACCCATGGCCTACAGACTGCAAACACCTCAGAGTAGCTATCAATTAGATCTAACATAATAATGTAAATTTACTTTATATATACACATATACATGTAGATATGTATACACATACACACACATATATATATGTAATTCATTGCCTGCTTCTTGACTGTGAACTTTGTAGATGACAAGACACAAGATAAAAGTTTGGACACACATGAAAGCCATACTAGGAATACCCCTAAGGTCACTGAACACAGGGCATGCATCTTAGAGGGGCGATTCTAAAGAAGTAGAAGCTGTGCCAGAACAGGATGGTGGCAGAGGACAGGGAACAAAGCAGGTGCATCTGATATATAAGAAGAAGGTAGGGTCCTCAAAAAGCAGGGGATGAGGAACTTTGAGAACCAAAGCAATGGCCAGGACTATGGCTCAGCAATGCAGAGGACAACAGTGGTCTTCATGGAGACAGTGCCCCAGGAGGTTGAAAGATATGAGGAGAGGGTTAATAACTTCTACCTGAGACAGGTTAAGTTTGATGTATCCATCTAGGGCATATAAATATACAGCTGGACACACAAGTCTGATACTCAAAGAGAGAGGCTAAGTCATAAGCATTGTGACCAAGGAAGAGGAAAGAATCGCGCAGGAAGAACTAGCCCTGTGAGAGAGCGGGACTCAGAAACACTGAGGACACAAAGGAAAAGAGCTCACTTGAATGGGGACTCATGAGAGAAAAAGCAAACCACCTCTACCCCATCCTTCTGCCCCAGTAAGATCCTCCAAGATGATAAACTGGCTATTTTGAATAAAAATTCTCAGATACCATTCCAAGAGTCCAGACTGTGATGGGTTATTCTGTTTTCCATTCTTACACTGTACTGGAGATTGACTCTCATGTTCCATGCATGCTGGGAGGTGCTCTACCACTAGCTACAGCCCTGGCTTTGAACTCACATCATAGCTCAGGCAGGCCTTGAACTTGTGATCTCTACACCTTACACTTGCTTCTTCATAGTCCTCATTCCTGTTCTAGCCTCCAGTGTACCTAGGATCGTGGGCCTGCACCACCAGGCCCAGTCAATGGTTTATCTTTATTTACACTGTCTATGAATTAAGGGTTGCATGAACATGATTAGTGACTGACTAACCATCTACATTCCCCAATCAATTATTTTCACATTTGAAAATGTCACTGCACTCACCGAATGTCCTCCATACACACACAGCAACAGTAGACCAATGACTCGCCACGAGGACTCCACTACTTAATAAGAACCATGGGCATAAACACAGACATTCGGAACACAAAGTGGAAAAAAAAAAGTGTGCTACCCAGGAGAGCACTGAGGAGGCATCCTCACCCAGGTGAAGGAGAAAGGTCTATGAAAGTGATGTCTGAGCACAGCCTTGAAGGTCAGTTCACGAAATGAGGCAGGGAGAGAAAGCTAGCAAGGGGCCTGCATGAGTGAAAGAAGCCCATGAGAAACAGCAAGATGCAAACACCAGCTGTTGCCTCAGTATAAAGCAAGGGCAAGAAGGGGCAAAGGTGAACTGACAGAGCAGGGCGGTGGAAACGCAAGTATCAGCTGCTGCCCGGAGATGAAGCATGGACAAGGAGGGCAGGAGTGAACTGACGGAAGGAACAGGGTCCAGCTCACAGAGAACACTTGATATCACGCCAAGGAGAGAGAAGCGGCTGTCTGAAGCCAAAGAACACCAAGCACGGGAGGAGGCAGATTTCACTTGAGAGCATCAGCCTCACAGCTGACAGATCTGAAGAAGTCCAGACAGATGGCTGTCAGGCGTCAGAAGGCTACTAGAAGCCATGTGAGAGGACCGCAAGAAACGTGGAGTAGAGGAAATCACAGAAGATAAATGGCCACCCTTTCCAGCCTCCCAAATCGTAGCTGAAATCTACTTAATACATAAGAAAAAAAAACAGACCAATGCATCAACTCTTTACAAAAAGTCCTAATAATGAAAATCTACCACAATTAAAAAAGACATTCCAAAAAAGCTTGATCATTTTTGTTTTTTCATTATCTTACAGATGTTTAAAATGTTGATTAAATCCTTCTGTTCTCACCAAAGAAATAAGCAAAATTTTATGAATTGGTTATAATTTTAATATTCCCAAAAATCAAAAACAAATGTAGGAAGAAAAACAATATCCTAAGGAAAAGAAATACAAACATTTGGCAGGAAGAAAAACAATATCCTAAAGAAAAGAAATACAAACATTTGGCTGTACTCAAAGGTGAAAGATTACTACGGAATATTTGAAGATACTATCTACAGACTTTAGTATAAAAATAACACCTGAGCCAGCAAAAGGCTCACAGGTAAAGCGCTTACCACCAAAGACTAATGACCCAAGTTTGATACCCATGGTGGAAGAAGAGAGGACCAAACTCTGAAAATGTCCTCTGACTTCCACACTTGATGGCATAATACACACCTGCACTCAACACACACGAGAGATAAATAAATAAGTCTAAAATGATATCCAAAAGGAATAAATCACTTTAAAAAAAAGACGAAGACTCAGAAACAATGAGATTTACAGACCACCACGAACAGTACTTTCTCAGGCCGCAGAATACCCTAAAAGAATAACCAACCTGCAGGAGATCCTGATTTTACAACAGATTTCAAAATAGTTATAACCCAAACGGAGCTAGATTTCACTTTGAATCTTAGTCCTGAGTCAGTCTGGCTTACTCTGTCCTGCTTAGAATAAAATCACACTCGTTTTTTTGAAGTCCTTTCAGAATCTGATATCATCCCTCCACTGAGAGTCACTCCTTAAGAAATGGAAAGAATATTCCATGAAAACTATTCCCGCAAATGAGTTTCTGGGCCGAGTGAGATGGTTGAGTGGCTCGAGGCATTTGCCAAGCCTGACAACCCGAGTTCAATCCCCGGGAACCCACATGGTGGGAGATTGGAGTCCTGCAAGTTGTTCTATGATCTCCACATGTGTTAGGACACACATACGTACACCCCCCGCCGCCATGTAGTTTAAATTTTTTTAAAAAAGCTTCTGAATAAAGTAGCACAGGAAATGGAGGAAAACGGGGCCTGCTTAGACTATCATGCTGCCAAATATAAATTTCAATATCCTAATCTTCTCAGGCCACAAACATACTCTTCCAGGCAGTTCTTCTAATTAAGCTCCCTCGCACTTGAAATTTCAGCCTTGGAAAGCTCATTCTGTTTTCATACTGGCTGAGAAATTTGCTGACAATGAAATTTCTACTTTAAATATTCAGCATGATTCTAAATGGGTTTCTTCAAATTACTCTTCAGTGGCCCTTTAAAACCACCATTGAAGAGATAAAAGTAATTAGAAATGGCAGTCTAAATGGAGCCGCGTCTCTCAGCCGTCCTCCACAGTATAACACAGCCCGCTCTGGGCTTCCCTTAGGATGCTCAACAGTTCACCATTCATCACCACACGTCACTCATTCCATTTGCACATCACAAGACTCACTTCTGCTATTCCAATTAGTATCCCACTGGGTCACAGGAGAGAGAATGTTAATCACAAGAGCAATGGCAGTTAAAGTGGAATAGTGTACTTAAAAGGGAATACAGAGTGACAAATGGAGCCGCAAGTGGAGTTTTACCCAACCCACTTAGTAGTAGTGTGACCTTGGACAAGTCCCTTTGCCTCTCTTCTCCTTGTGAAAATGAAATGAAATAATCCTCAGGGAACTTGATAAGCTGAAAACATTGGACAAAAATATTGGGAAGCGGTGATAATAGTTATATGGGTAACAATTTTGAAATCACTGGCCCAGAGCCTGGAAAAAATAATAAGTGAGGGTTATGTCAACATATCAATTACACTCATTCTCCACACACCCTAGAAGAGTCAGGTAATCAGAGGCCCAGTGAAATGCAAAGAAGTGCTGCCACCTTGGTCAGTAAGAGACAGCACGTCTCTACTTTGATAAGTTCCTTATGCAAATATAGTTCTGGTTACGGCAAAGGTCACAACAGATGCAGGTGGAAAATACAGCAGAACTAAGACTGAGTTCTAATGATACTCTACCAAGAGTAACTATCTACTCACTATAGATAATGTTCTAGGAAGATCCCAGACTAGCAAGAAATATAGCACATGTAGACCTGGATTCTAATGGAAATCAAGACATATTCATTCACATATACAAATAACTATGACAAAAATTCTACCTGTAAGAAGTACAAGCAAACACTCTTATGAGTTTGATGTGTTGAAGTCTGGTAAGAAAACCACAAAAGAGTATTAAGAGTGCTTCCTTGCTAGTATAAACTAAGTAGCAAGTTTACAAAGGCCCCACAAGTACAGGTTAGGTGAAACGTGAATTAAGGTTAGTGCCTTCACTAATTCCAGGATCTAAAGCACGTATGTCTGGGACACTGAGGGGCTGGGGAGATGGCTCACTTAGTAGTAGAGAGCTTGCCATGCAAACACAAGGACCTGAGTTCAGATCCCGAGCACTTTCCAGCACTATAGCCCAGTGCAGGGAAGACAGATGGGTGTATTCTTGGAGCGAACTGGCCAGGCCTGATGGGCCAGCCTAGCTGAATGGGTGAGCTCTGGATTCAGTGAGACCCTGTCTCTGGAGATAAAGCAGAATGATTGAAGAAGTCACCCACTGTCAGGTTTGGCTTCCATGTGCACATGCACACATAACTATACAAGCACATACATATACTCACAGATTCTGAAAAAAAAAATTAAGGAAGAGTTAAATACCTATTTAACTGCCACGGAAGTTAATACTCACAGATAATGATCTGGGTCAAATTTGGCCAGCTCAGCAGCCAGGCGTTTCTGCCTTCGTTCAGTCACAGGAGTGAAATCTGGATCCTTAATATCAATAACCTCGCTCAGTTCATCCTAAAAACACCAGAACAAGAATGAGCACTATCTCCAATCTTTAGCATTTAAAAGTCAAATGAGGGGTTGGGGTGGGGAGATGGCTCAGTGGTTAAGAGCTCTTGCAGCTTTTCCAAAGGTCTCAAGTTCAATTCCTAGCACCCAGATCACAACTCTCTGTAACTCCAGCTCCAGGGAATCTGCTACCCTCACAATGACACACATGCAGGCAAAACATCAATGCACATAAAAATAAATAAGCCAGGCATGGAAGTGCATGCCTTAAATCTTAGCAATTGGAGAGGCAGAGGCGGGGGTATCTCTATGAGTTTAAAGCGTGGTCTACAAAGAGAGTTATAGGATAACTAGGGCTGTTACAGAGAAATCCTGTCTCACAATATATATTATATATAAAAGCAAACTGGGAGAAGGGAGGAGGAACATCAAAGCATGGAAGAATCTTCCTGATTACTATCCCTAGAGTATGAAACAGCTTGTAATATTTAAATTCAGATCTAACAAAGAGGTGTAGAGCATGCCTTTGCTCCCAGCACTTGGTAGGCAGAGTTGGGCAGATCTCTCTGAGTTCCAGGCCAGTCTATTCTACATAGCAAGTCCTAAGCCAGCCAGAGCTACACAATGAGATCCTGTTGCAAAACACAAAAAGTAAAATCAAACAAACAAATAAAAAGCCATAAATTTTTGAATCTATTTATAGCGATATTTTATTAACATTTAACATAAAGGATGATGGCACTTGCCACCAAGCCTGACCAACCCAATCCCTAGAACCTACAAAGTAGAAGGGGAGAAAACTCCAAGAAGTTGTCGTCATGACTCTACAGACATCCTGGGGCATACAACTTCCACCATGCTGTAGCAGGTGCATGTGTGTGTGCACACACACAAGCATATACACACATATTTAGTTAGTTGAAAATTTTAAACCAAAGCCCTGGTGGTGGCGCACGCCTTTAATCCAAGCACTTGGGAGGCAGAGGCAGATGGATCTCTGTGAGTTTGAGGCCAGCCTGGTTTACAAGAACTAGTTTCAGGACAGGCTCTAAAGCTACAGAGAAACCCTGTCTCAGAAAAAAAAAAATTAACCACGAAGCAGAATTGAATACACTCTTACAAACATGCAAGAACATTTAATTTTCCATTCATTTCCCCTTTTAGCCCCAGCAATCTGAAAGTTCCCGAAGACAGGAGGGTGTGAGCATCCAACATCTTCAGAGAGACTTGGCTTTCTTTCCAATGTCTAGCTCAAAGAAAGAAACCCTGTATTGTCTACTTTGTAAATATGCTTGCCATGCAGACCTGACCACCTGAGTTCAGTTCTTGGAAACCACATAGCAATAGATGGAGAAGATCAACTCCATGAAGCTGGCCTCTGACCTCCATTCCCACAGGCACAAATTAAAAAAAAAAAATTAAGGATTTTTATGAGTAATTCTGGTCTTTGACTTTCCACTTGAAAGTTTAAAAATCTAAGCCAAGATGTGCATATGTGAACATGCAGCGTGTTTCCCAAGCAGAATTCTACAAAACAGACACACGCAGGAATTGTAAAGTGAAGAAACCTCATACAATCCAAAATACTCCCCACACTGTGGCTTTCTTCCGTGTCTGCTCGCACATCTATCACCTCCAGGTAAGCACAGAACTGGAAGGAACATACAGGATGCAAGCCGAACGCAACCAAGCAGTAACCCGGGAGAGCTGTGCATGTGAACTGACCCAAAAGACTTGTAAATGGAAAGGACAGCAGTAAAGGGAATCACATACACAAAAGAAAACAGAGACAAGTCAGTAGTCCGAGGATATTGAGCAAGTCCCTTCACTTTTTTATGTCATCTAAAAAAAAAAAAAAGAAAGAAAGAAACGAAACAGTGATATGAGCGCACTTTAGAGTTGATGGTCAGAATGCAAGCTTACTAAAACTAGACTATGGGGAGATATCACAACCAGTCTCCCTACACAACCATAATTTCCAAACAAACCAACAACAAAAAAAGAGTTCTGGGGCCAGAGAAATGGCTCAGTGGGTAATCTGACTGAGTTCAATCCCCCGGACCCTCACGGTGGAAAGAGAGAACTGACCCAAAAGCAACTGTCCTCTGACCTCCTCCTGAAAACCATGCATGTAAAACAGGTACAGGCACACATATTCACACCAAATAAATAAATATCTATAAAGTCTAAAACTAAATAAACTCTCCCTTTCTTACCACAAAGCGTGTAGGTCTTAGCCGAAGTACATTCAAATATTAACGAAGGGATTTGATGAACTTTCTGGAAGCTACTGGATCAACTAGAATATCTTAATACTTTCAAATACAAACATCTGAGGCAACAACCAGACTAATGGCTGTCCACAAACATAAAATTTACATTCCAAAGTTCCTTTGCAGTTTACTTCTTGCAGACTTGGAATGCATTTTCCTACAGAAATCCTATTATAAACAGTAGTTAAGAGTCTCAGGGCAGCCCTCAAGTTTATGCAATTCATAATAAATAGAAACAGAACAGTCATGATGCAAAGAGCTCAACAAGCATGCAGCAAAGTTTCCATGGGAAAAACTCGCAGTCTCTGCAGCTGAATCCACCAGAACACAGCATTGGCTCTTCTTCCCTCCTGGAGGCTAGGGCACAGGTGGACAAAACCCTCGGGAGGGGAGGCAGTACAATCCACAGCATGGCATCATCCCTCCCTCAGTTCATCACATGGCCTCATCTCTTCCCTCTGTGATTAGAGGGGCCCACAAACAAATCCATGTCGATAGCATCTTTAATCACAGCTGCCAAGTTCTTCTGCCATGTAATGTAAAACCTTTACAGGACAAGTGATCACATGACATCGTTTTGCTCTTCTTGGGGAAGGGAATGGCATTTGGAGCCACATGCTACTATTAATATTAAACAATATAATACAGGCCTAAACGCACTCACTAATGTCAGATTCCCTGTTCTCTCTGTCTCCATTCCAAGGCTGTTCCCTGTTACTCACCGGCTTCTACTGAGAACACAAATCCTCCTTCCCCTTCAGTTTCCTTACTCGCTAGCAGTAATCAAAGTGAGTTGTGTGGGAAGGGGAGAGGGGAGAACAACTAATTATTGCACCTGGACAGACTTAAGGTCGTGAATGGGCTATAATCTGTGAGGACCGACAGAAAACTCTGTGTTTCAGAGGATAAACGGACTCTCAGAACCCAGATTCCTTGCTCTACATCACAAGCCCAGATTGCCTTTCAAACCGATGCCAGCCTTTCCCTCTGGCCCAAGTCCACTAGAGCTACACACAGAATTCTTTTCATTTATGGACATATACATCTGTCTCCACTCTGACCCTCTGCATCTACAGTGCCCTGTCATCGTAACTCCATGCATGGCCCATCCTCCAAGGGGCCTCCTCTGGGCATCCTCATCAAAATGGTCCCCAGGCTCATATACCACCATTTTCTTCCACCTACTACTATTGCCATTAGCCTATTTACTGTCTACCTGAAGACTGTCCATCTTCTCCATAGAATATTTCATGGGGAGGGGTCTAGTCTACCTTCTTTTTCACTGCACACTCAGTGTGAAGTGGCTAATTTATGTTAACTTAATACAAACTATAGTTTTAGGTTTTGATATTTCAAGACAAGGTTTCTCTGTGTAGCCTTGTCTATCCTGGAACTCACTCTGTAGACCACCCTGGTCTCGAACTCAGAGATCTGCCTGCTTCTGCCAAGATTAAAGGCATGCACCACCACTGCCCAGCTATCATAAACTATAGTTATCAGAGAAATGGAGTCTCAGTTGAGAAAATGTCTCCAGAAGATCAGGCTGTAGAAAAGCCGGTAGGACATTTTCTTATCGCTGATAATGGAAGGCCCAGCTCTTATGGGTGGTGCCATCTCTGGGTTCTATAAGCAGATTTAGAAGCCATGAGGAGCAAACCAGTAAGCAGCACTCCTCCTCTGCATCAGTTCCTGCCTCCAGGTTCCTACCCTATTTGAGTTTCTGTCTCAGTTTCCTTCAGTGGAAGTTGTAAGCCAAATAAACCCTTTCCTCCCCAACTTGCTTTTGGTGATGGTGTTTCATTACAGCGATCTTAACCCTAACTAGAACAGTGTGTTTGGCAGTCAGAAAGAAATCACTACTGAGTGCATAATGCAGGGCTGTGGACTGGTCTGGTTGCTGGAATAGAGATCCAATAATGAGTATACATATAAAGTCCCCAACTTCATGGGATGAACTGGAAAAAAAGCAACTCTTTCCAGCCCCAGCTCTGCTCCACGCTAGTCTACTGACTCAAGGTCACCACAGCAATGCGGCAGAGAGATCACACCATGTGACTATTCCCATCTGGGCCACCCCACCTGCACTGTTCTATGCACATACATACCATGGCCTTGATCAAACTGGACCCTAATAAGAAACTAAAGCGGCTGGGCACAAAGTTAGACTGGAATCTAAAGTAAGGCATGGTTGGAGGCACAGCTTGGAGGTAGAGCACTTGCTTAGAATGCATGCGGTCCTGGATTCAATCCTTAGCACTACAAAAGAAAAGTCTGTGGCATCAATCAACTCAAGGAAAGGAAGAAAAGAGAATGAACTTCAGCAGAAAGAAAAGAATTCCTTTTTCTCTCTTTTAGAATTGCTGTGGTCACTAGTCCCAAGTGATCTGAAGATGAATGCTGCCAGGAAAAGGTCACTGAGGATTTAAGCCAGGCTTGTGTACACTTAAATCACAGATCAAACAGGACCCAATCTGGAAAGAAAATGCACTGTGTATGCATCTGGCCAGTGTGTCTCCTGGAGACAAAGACCTCAGGTCCCTGAAGCAGCCAAAGGAAAGCAAGGGCCAGAAGGCCTGGCATCCTGCAACAAGGCCGTCTCAGGAGACGGCTGACTGGGATGGCGCCCAGAGACTCCAGGGCTGCGGCTTCTGGCAGCCACCAGCACCAACAGCTTGTTGTGCAGCCCTGACTCTGAGCAGCCAGGGCAGTTTTCCAAAGGCGCCCTGGTGGCTGGCAGAGATTTCAAGAAAGGCAAGACATTGGGTGTGTGTATGTACATGGGAAGCAGGGGTGGGGAGGGTGGGGAGAGAATTTGCTTCAACAGTAATATTTTCATTATCAGATAAAATAGAGAAGCTGTGAACCTGTTTAAAAGGAGACAGGATTATTCTTCCTGTAAAGAGTTAAATTATTCACTAAAGACATTTTCCTTTGTGTTACATTTTTTAATAAGAACACTGCTTTCATCATCAAAAAAGCCAAAACTTTTCATTTAAAAAAAAAATAAGGAAATACTGGCAAAATACAAGTAGTGAACAAATGTTTTGTGTGGGTCTTGATCCAAATGCAGAAATTACAGAAACTAAAATTGTAAGAAAACACAGTATTAGAAAAGTCATTTTTTAAATTATATTTTGAGACAAATGTTCTGAATCCTCTTATGGTGTGGTGACCTCTTCTAGGCACACTATAGCTTTTTCACGAAAAGAAAGAGGGCAGCACTGTGACCATCACAAACAGCAGCTGTAAACTCATCTGATAAAACGCATAAACTTTACTATGATTTTTGAAAGTCTGATTAATTCCTAATGTTATGAAGAACACCATATCCCTCAAATTTAATTCGTGCAGAAAGTCCCATTTTCTTTAAAGCTTTTTACTGGATCTGTCTCCTGGTAAAAAGTGCAGACACAGTAGTAAAGATGCCCTGAAAGCCAGCATTGTTTAGCTGGCGCAGACAGATCCACATAAATCCCTACTTGGTGGCTTCAGGTTTAGAACTCTGGACTGCAAAGATGTTCGAGAACAACAGTGTGGTAGAAGGCTGTGGTAGCACTCGCTATCCACGCACATTACTACTTCACAGTGATAATTCAGACCCACACACTAAGTGTGTAGCTTAAAATAGCTTTTAAAACGTACTAGGGGCTGGAGAGATGGCTCAGTTGGGAAAATCACTTGCCGTGTGTGGTGGTTTGAATGGCAAAAGTCCCCCACAGGCTCAGACATATCAACACTTGGTCAACAACTAGTATGGACAGGTTATGGGTCTTTAAAGATGTGAAACCTTGTAAGAAGAAACTTCGAGAGAGTGTATAGTCTCTTCCCACTTCTAGCTCCCTCTCTCTGCTTCCTGTGTGTAGAAAGGAACTGTGAATAGCATGCCTCCTGTTCCTGCCACCATGCCATGCCCTGCCTACCATCAGAGACCCTCCCTCTAGAACCGTAAGTTCAAATAAACTTTTTCTTTCCTAAGTTGCCTTTGGTCAAGATATTTTACCACAGCCAACAGAAACTGTGCTAGCCTGATAACCTGAGTTTGATTCCTAGAACCCACGGTATAGAAAAAAAAAAGGAATTCTGAAAACTATCCTCTGATCTCCACATACATGCTATAACAAACATACCTGCACTCACATGCATGAGTCATACACATATATACACAAACACAATAATAATAAATTTTAAAATTAAATAAAACATATTGAGAGAACCAGCTGGGTATGGTAACACTGAGACAGGAGGATTACCAAAAGTTGAAGGCCAGCCTGACTTACAAAGTGAGAACTTGTCTCAAAAAAAAAAAAAGAAAGAAAGAAAAAAATAGAAAGAGAGAAACTAGAACAAAACTATGTGGTTTCAGATAAGGTTTTGGTGACAAATTAAACATATGTGGAAACTGGAGGTTCTAAGAGTGTCTGGAATTTCAGTGCTCTGTGCACGGGGTGGCAAGCCACTACTGCTAGCAGGACACCGCGCACATTCTAAACCCTCCAGTCCACTCATTCAAGCGTCCTTCTCTTTCTAAAGTGAGTTTTAGGAAAACAATGTTCGTGCTATTAATGTTTGAAAAAGAGTTTAGCAATTTTAGATAGTTAATCTAAATTAAAAAAAAACCAGTATTTCTGATTGAGAAAGAAAAGATGTAAACATAAAGGGATGGACAGGGCATCCTAACTACACCAATACTTCCATTTCTAGTCTGAGTGGCAGGTATACAGGCATCTGACGCTTTAGTTTCACCATGCAGACAGACACAGAGTACTACCTACATACATGCCCTGAAATACCATTCTATTCCCAAGACTATATATAACTTTTATGTTTCATAGCACTACTTTTTACAATAAAATCTAGGTGCCATGTTATGTATCTGTGCTCCCAAGGCTTCAGTAGGGGAGGTAGGAGAATCAGAAATTTAAGGCCAAGCTTAGCAACTTAGTGAGTTCCAGGACAGCTTAGGATACCTAAGACCCCATATCAAAAAATAAAGAGTACTTCATGACAATGTTTGCTTAAAAGCAACCTAAATAACTTTAAAAATCTTTTCAATAAATATAAAAACTTTTAACCTAAAAGGGACTTGGCCTCATCTAAACTATGGTTCTGTTGTATTCCCTAAGCAAGAAGAATCCCTTCAAAGTGGTCACACTTTGTACATTTGGAAAGCTGAGGCAAGAAGAGTCTAGGTTCAAGACCAGCTACATAGTAAGATTGTCTCCAAACACCAAAGCAAGTAAGCAACAACCTCAAAGGAATCTTCCCTACCAACAATCTGGACAGGGGCACTTTTCACCTGAATGAAGATTCTGGACTGAGTCTGTACGGCATGTACTAGCCTTCATTTGTAGCTCTGAACAGGCCAGCCCCAAATAAAATGATCACAAATTAGCTGTTGGCCAAACAACTGAAGCCCATGTACTTTGGTTTCTGCCAGAGCTGCATGAAGCCTACTCCATTCTAAGTACCTCAGAGTTCACCATGAAAACAAGGGACCAGAGCAGCAGAGGGCACGGCACGAATGGCAGAAAAGTGCCCAAGCTTTTACACACACGTTTCTTTGGGTTATTTGCTACAGGGTAAATGCCAATTTTATTCTCTTGCAGGAATCTTGAGAGTAACTTCAATGTTTCAAGGGCAGGAGTCTTTATAATGCCCAACACTTTCCAGAATTTTCTCTTAAGTTTTCAGTATTTCATGATATTTTTAAATCATTCCCATTTTACCAAGACAGAACAAGTTACTTGTGGTCAGTGATCATCACAGTATCCCAAATCTAAATGGAGGCACAAGTACAACCAGAATATAGACTCCCAGGTTTTTCTTGACAGACTCAGATACACCTTATTTCCTGAACATCACTCATGGGAAAATCTAAGACTCAAAACATTGCAAAAACTGAAATTTCATAAGCAGCACTCAAATGAAAGTTTACATTTGATCTCCACCAAGAATAAGCAGAATACAATATCTACTGTGTACTAAGAACTTAAAAATCTTACTAAAACACAATCTAGAGGAGGAGCATGCTTGTAATAATCCCACGAAAGACTGAAGTAGAGGGATTACAAACTTAAAGAGAACCCAAACTATATCAACATCAATATCTCTATTTGTTTATCTACATCCATTTGTGTGTGTGTGTACATATATCCTCTGCGGATACCAGGTGAATTTGTGGTACACAAACATACATATATAGACACAAATGTATGTATATACATACATACACACACATATACATACATTCAGCCCCCAAATTTAAAATAAGAACAAAAAAAAACTAAACAAAAAGCTCCCAGGCTGGTCCTCATCAGGAACTCCTGTCTCCCGCACATGTGAAACAGACGCTGTATCACACCCTAGTACTTGCTCTCCATCCTTAGGTGTATCATGCTTCCTTAACGCTGTACAGAAGCACCAGGAGAGAGAGGTTGTTTGTGTTTGTTCTAGATTGTTCCCATCCTGAACCATAAGGATAGCAGCAGGCTGGACAAGGAAGAATGGACAGCTGTGTGACCCTGCTTGCTACAGGCACTAACTATGTCACCTTAAAAATGCCCTGGGTGAGCGGAAATGAAGTTGAAAACCCTGTGTGCCATTGTCTTCCAGGACAACATACCTGTAACCGCTGAACCACACCTGCTCGCAGGTTTCCAAATCCATAGTGACACTGTGATTGTAGAGCGCTTTCTGAGACCTCTTCATAGGGAGTCTGCTCGATTTCCCAGTCAAAGTCTGCATCCTCATCATCAGCTCCTTCCTCAGAAACTCCAGAAGAACCTAAATGCGTTCAACATTAATTTTTTCTTTAAAGTACTGAGGTGTCTAGGTACAATGAGAGCAGGAAGCCGCCACGGGGAAAAGGCCTTCCATTGTACACCAAAGGCACAGACAAGAATATCCACAGCCCCACTGCTCGTGATGGCCAAAAAGCAGAGCCACCATAAATGTGCACCAACAGGAGGAGATATAGAGAAACTCACAAAATGATGATGAAGATACATATATATATATATATATGCCTCTGCTGTAACACAGATATGCCTCATGAGAACGTAGAGTAAGAAGCCAGACAAAAAGGAACACACTCTAAGACTCACAATCAGGCAAAGGAGAAGGCCCTGGTGGTCTAGGAAAGAAGAGGGGACAGAGCCTGGGAAGAGCAGGGGTGGGAGTCCAGGATATTGGAAATAAACACTATAGTTTGTGACCTAGCAGGTGTTCGTATTATAAAATGTTTTCAACTATCTACTTCTAGCAAGATGTTTTAATTGGTAAAGAAAAAATGTGACTGGTCTATTGGTCCACTACTGGTTATGACTTCTAATTGTGATACCAGATAAGCTATTTTCACAGTGACTTTAATCTTTCCTTTTTATTTTCTTCTCTTGAACTTTTTTCCTCTAATTTTCGGGCCCCAAGTCTCTTCTCCAAGAAAAACAAAATATTACAAATATTCCTACTTATCTTCATCTCCTCCCAACTACAGCAAACATACCTATTTCTTCCACAAGTGGTTTGGCAGACCTCGATTTTCTTGGTGCCAGAAGAGCAGTTAACATGTTCAGCCCCTCAAAATGCTGACCAGGAGTTTCCTTGGGCAATCGAATGGTAAAAATTCCTTTAAGAGAAATTGTTTTATATTTAGATAGATTAAAATATTCAAAGACTTCAGTAAGTATATATAAGAGAAATGCAAGTAGGAATAATATATAATTATATGAGGAAAAAATTTTAACTATACATCTGAAGAGAATTACTATCCAGAACATATAAAGAACTCAAACACAAAATACTCAGGCTGGAAAAATTACCCAGTTTAGGTATTGTTTCTCCCACAACCATAAGGATCTAAGTTTGAATCTCTAGCACATACACAATAACCTGAGTACAACAGCAAATAGCTATAATCCCAGTGCTAGAGAAGTGGAAAAAGGAAGAACCCTGGGCTGCTGGCCAAGCTGAAGCAGCAAGTTCCAGTTTCAGGGAAAGACGTTGTCTCAAAAATGAAGTGGACTTTAAAGACACCTTAAGTCAACCTCTGATCTATATCCACATGCACATATACACATGTGATGTGAACTCCCCTCTGTGTGCTGTGATTGCCACTGATTAATAAAGAAACTGCTTTGGGCCAATAGCAGGGCAGAACAGAGCTAGGTGGGGAAAACTAAACTAACTGCTGGGAGAAAGAAGGCAGAGTCAGGAGACACCATGTAGCCACCAGAGGAGAAACACGAGCTGCCAGTTGGAACTCTGCCAGTAGGACAGGAGCCTCATGGTAAAATATAAAATAATAGAAATGGGTTAAATTAAGATGTAAGAGTTAGCCAATAAGAAGCTAGAGCTAATGGGCCAAGCAGTGATTTAATTAATACAGTTTCTGTGTGGTTATTTTGCGTCTGAGCAGCCGGGAACGAACAAGCGGCCTCCTACAACACACATGAACACATACACAGGTACTAGCCTGTAGCAGGCTTTCTTTTGGGCCACCAACCAGCTCCCAAATCAAAACATGGAGACTTAATAGTTATGAATGTTTGGCCTTATCTTATGCTTATCCCACTAGCTCTTATAACTTAAACTGACCTGTTTCTCTTCATCTATATTTTGCCCTAGGACTTTTTACCTTTCTTTCATTCTATTTGCCCTACTGTTTCTGCTTGTCGAGTGGCTCCCTGGCTGGGGGATACCTGGCCAGCAGGTCCTAGGCACCTCCCTTGTTCTCTCTTCTCTCCAGCCTAGACTCCTCCTCCTAGTTATTCTCTCTGCTCACCAGCCCTACTATCCCTCTACTGCCTAGCTATTAGCCATTCAGCTTTTTATTAGACCAATCAGGTGCCTTAGGCAGGCAAGGTGAAACAGCAACACATCTTTACATAATTAAACAAACGTAGCATAAACAAACATAACACAGCTTTACATAGTTAAAGTAGTATTCCACAACATACTGTAACAAATGTAACACATCTTTACATAATATTCCACAACACAAACCACACTTATAGACATAAACACACAAAGGAAAAAAACCAAGCAACCTAACCAAATGGCAAATAAACACATGGAAAAAAATGCTCATCTCAGCTCAGTCAGAATGGCTCTTACAAAGAAAACACAACAGCAAATGGTGGCAAAGATGCAGAGAAGTGATCCCTTATGCACCGCTGGTGAGAATATAAACTAATCTTAGCACCTCAGAATAAGAATGGCCCCCAGAATACTAAAACTAGAATCACCATACTATCCAGCTACCACTCCTAAGGTATATACCCTAAGGAGTCCAAGTCATCACACCACAGAGACACCTGCATATCTAAATTCCCTGCAGCACATTCACCACAACCAAGTGACAGATTCAGTCTACGTGCCCATCAACAGATAAAAAAAGAAAATGTATATCTCTACAACAGACTTTTACTCATTCATTTAAAAAAATGATGTCACGCCGGGCAGTGGTGGTGCACACCTTTAATCCCAGCACTCGGGAGGCAGAGGCAGACGGATCTCTGTGAGTTCGAGGCCAGCCTGGTCTAGAAAAGCTAGTTCCAGGACAGGAACCAAAAGCTACGGAGAAACCCTGTCTCGAAAATCCAAAAAAAAAAAAAAAAAATGACGTCACTTACAAAAAAACAAAGATCATATTAAGTGACATAAGCCAGACACAGAAGGACAAATATGCTTTGTCTCATTTGTGGACCAAAGTGTCTTTTTATAGATGCATAAACCAGACAGACAGACAGACGGATGATAATACACACATCTCTCTGTGGGTGTGGTTGGGTGCACTTGCGGGAATGTGTGTATGTGTGTTTGAGTATGGGTATGTCCTTGTGTATGAGACATGAAAGCAGAGGAAAACTAGGGGCAAGGACACTAGCAGGAGAAGAAAAGGGAGAGAAGGGAGAAAGGAACAAACTTGGGGTGATGAACATGGTTGAAATATACGATATACATGACAGAAACTGTTCTCATAAAGCTTAACACCCTTCTGCAATGAATATACACCAATAAACATAGCTGTTTAACAAAAATATTTAACAATTTAAACTTAAAAAAAATAATTCCTCAAGGGGTTCCAAAATTTGACCCTTATTATAGATTTAGTGACTATAAATCAAGATTTTAAAAAAGTCTTAAGAAGGGCTTTTCCAAAGCTGTCACTGCGATCAGAAATCAATGTGTCCAAACCACAGAATGTGCTGGTGTTACCTCGTACCATCTTAACCTAGTCAAAACATCAAAACAAAGAGTTCCTAAAATTCAGGGGCCTGAGGAGGCAACAGCACTAACCAACAGTTATTTATGAAATACATTTTTGGACTAGGAGGGAATTAGAATAGCTAATCCAAAAAACAGCAGTGGCTTTCAAACTACACTAAAGTAATTGCAATTTAATAATTTCTTTATTAACTCAAGAGATTTTTTTTTTCCTTGAGACAGCCTTGCTCTGTGGCCCTGGCTAGCCTCAAATTCACATGAAATTATGTTCCTACCTTAGGTTCCTGGGCACCAGGATTACAAGTGTGTGCCCCTATTTCCAGTCTACTGTTTTAAACATTTTACCTCGCCGGGCGGTGGTGGCGCACGCCTTTAATCCCAGCACTTGGGAGGCAGAGGCAGGCGGATCTCTGTGAGTTCGAGACCAGCCTGGTCTACAAGAGCTAGTTCCAGGACAGGCTCCAAAACCACAGAGAAACCCTGTCTCAAAAAACAAAAATAAATAAATAAATAAATAAACAAACATTTTACCTCTTTTAGCAATCCAATAAACCAAATGCAACTCAACCCAAAGGCCCACACATATACAACTCCTCAGCTCTAAGAACTTTACAGTTTTATTTTTTTAATATATACATGCGAGTACAAGTGCCAATGAAAGCCACAAGAGGGTGTCAGATTCCCTGGAGCTGAAATTACGGGTAACTGTAAGCCTCTGTGTACCACAAACCAGAAACTTAGATCCTCTGCAAAAAGCAGCATATGTATGCACTTAGTAGCTGAGCTATCTCTCCAGCAATAAAGTTTAATAATCTCATTGTTATATGTAACTTATTGGCAACTAAAGATAGATCCACAATCTAGGACGGCAGCTTCCTTATACCTCAATATCACAACAGTTATACTGCATTAAGGGTGGAAATTTGATCCTAGGTTTCTCAGTCTCATTTTCCCTCCTTGACCCTACTTCACTGGTCAATAGTTACTGAATAAATTATACAAGTGTATATAAATTACTCTTTTTGAACTAAAGAAATTATTATTATTGTAGGTGCACATGTGTGTGTGTTGGGGGAAGTTGGGTTATGATTTAGATGTGGCATTAGGAGCAGAGCTCTTCGGAGCCAGTTTTCTCCTTTACATTTTCATGGGTTCTGGAAACCAAACTCAGGCTGCCAGGTTTACTAGACAAGCACCTTTACCTACCGAGCTACTCTGCGGGCTCTACAAATGACTCTTACTCCAAATCCAGTGACAAAGGAAAAGACAATAGCTTGCAGAAGAGTAAAATAAACAGGTTCTGTGGCAAGCTAAAATGGAGACTTATCAATCACAAAAAGAAAATTCAATTCCTCATTAAATTTCTTCCATGGATAATTTCTCAACTGCCTGTAATTAAAATCCAAGTCTGAAAACTATAAAAGAAAAATTCCATCCAAAAGCTCATAAACCCTTCATATTTTAAAATCAATCATTTCATGTTGATGTTTACTTCTACACATGTCCCAAATGTAGAAACAATTCCTGAAAAATGGAACTAGAACATTTGATTCAAATTTAAAGATTCTTGAAAAATATTTTAAAAGACAGAAAACTGCTATAACTGCCCCAAATCCAGATAACAGGCACTAGACATTAAAGAAGAGTTATGAGGCATATGGCAATGTCTCGACATCTAAAAGTCCCCATGGCATCTTTAAGGATACTGCTGTGTGGCTATGTAGGAATCCACAAAACCCTGGCTGGGGCTGGGCCTACGGCTCAGTGAGTAAAGCACTTGCCATACAGGCTGGAGGCCCTGTGTTTGGTTCCCAGAACCCAGACAAAACATAAGGAGTAGCGGGGCATGTTTGTAATCCTGGAGCTGGGGAGCAGACAGGAGTATTCAGTGGCTCACTGCCCAGCCTGTCTAGCCCAATAAGCAACAAGCAAGTGAGAAACCCTGTCTAAAAAGAGTTCCTTCAGATGACATCAGAGGTTGTTCTTTGGCTTCTATTTGCACATCCGCACACATGAACCCCCCCCCCCATCCACAAGCGCCTCCCAATACGCCCATCTACACCTACTTATGCTGTTGTATAGTACTATGCTCCGAGTCAAACTGCCACCATCTTCAGTTCTGGAGGGCCTGCTCACAAACCGCCATCAAAGCTGAGCCTGTGGACTATTTTACCTTGCCTCACAGGAGGAGGGGGGGGGGGGGTCATGGGACCCTCACCTGATTATTCATCCACCACCCCAGCCCCCACCCCACAACCAGTGTATGAAACAATTCTGTCCCAACTACACGTGGTCTTGGAGGAGGGGCTAGAGCATAGGATAAAGGGAGGGAATTAGCTACTCGGCCTGAGGAAGCCATGTAGACTTCTACTGTGGCTACTTCAGGATCAGCTATCTATGTTCCTGCCCATAACCCCTAACCCACTACTCTGTAAACCTAGTGAACTCGATGGTTCCCCCAGGGAACTTCGGTGGAATCACATTTAGTTTATCAGTGAGACCTTAGGAGAGGTAGATGGCATCTCTTGGGGAAGGAATTTTGGCAACACCAGTATACACACACATTAAAAATAGAGAAAAACCTATCCAAAACCCCAAAGGCCATACCTTTATCCACATCATAGGACCCCTGCTCACTTCCATTTTCCACAATCCTTCCAGGAAGCGTTAATCTGAAGATTTAACACAAGGTAAGTGATCACCAAACACAGTATATATTTAGCCAACAAAATCTATCAACCACAACCAGGTGGGTGGTGCGGGCCTTTAATCCCAGCAGGCGGATCTCTGTGAATCTGAGGCCAGCCTGGTCTACAGATCTATTTCCAGGTCAGCTAGGGACAGAGAAATCCTGTTTCGAAAAACAAAATCTATCAACCATCTGAACAGCAATTTTCAGATATCTTTCACATTTTAAAAGCTCAATAACTTGGATTCCTTCAGCTAAGAAAGTAAAAATCAAAGATGACACATTTTTCCATTTGAATACTTTAGCCACCAAACAGACGGGGCGGGAGGAGAACTTCATAATAAATGGTAGTTGTTAAATGCAGTTATGTTTATTATACTTTATTTTAACTTAGTTTATAAATAAAACGACATCCAAGGTTTTATAGGTATAGGGAAAATAATTTCTACATGGTTCATTACTAGCCACAGTTCCATAGGTTGGGAGTGACCTACTCGATTTTCAAGTTGGCATGCTAATTAATATCTTAGTAGTTAGATAAGAGTCAAGAAACCAGCTTGACTGCAGCGGAGCGCTCAGTTGAAAAGCGGAGGGCAAGTTGAGAGACAGAAATCTCTAATAAATAAATAAATTTAAAAAAAAGAAAAGAAAAGCGGAGGGCAACGGATGAACAAGTTTAATAAGACTAACAGCGTTCACCGCACAAGGGGGCTCACAGTACTGCCTAAGTCAAAGTATGGCTATCAAAATTAAGGTGACGCACGTGCGAGCACTTAAGACGCTGCGTACCTACTACATCAAAGGGCGCCCCAGTGTAAGCTGCCACTACTGTTTTGGTTCAACACGGAGAAAAATCCAGACGGGCAAGTGCTATTACTCGCCTCTCGTGGCAGCCAGGCAGAAATCGGCTAAAGTGATGCGAAGGGAACCTGAGAACCGCAGGGAGCAGAGGCCGGTCCGCTAGGAGGCGGACACGGAAAGCGTGCCGGCGTGTGTCAAAGGCCGACCCTGCGGGGAAGTCACCGCGCTGGGGAAAAGCGTGGGCGTGCAGCGAGAGAACAGCACAAGACAGGAAGGACCGAGGGTGACAGGACAGACACTGGGTGGATGCCCCCGTGCCCGGTGGTGAGATGGGCAGGTGAGGAAGGAGGCGATTGCGCGGGAGACCCCGCTCCAGGGAAAAGCAGCCGAGGCAGCGGCGAGAGCCCCGTGAGTGTGTCCACGAGCGCGGGTTCTCGAGTAAACGCAGGGCGCAGGCGGCGGGAACTCGCCTCAGAAAGTAGGGCTTGGCGTAGAACTTGAAGTCCACCCCCTCGAAGTACACGTCGAACTCGGAGGCGCGCGCGTGCGGCACGCGGATGGCGACCGTGAGGAAGTCGCGGTCTTGGCTCAGCTCGAACGCGGGGGTCAGCATCGCCTCGCGCCTGGAGCCACCACAGGCCAGCTACGCACGCGCCAGGTTCCCCAGCGCCAGACCCACGCCGTCTGCCTCAGCGCTTCCGGCCAGAGGCGGAAGTGGGTGCGCGTGCGGCCGGAAGTCCCTCCCGCGCCGGTCTCCTTGGAGACGGGACGCTTTTTCTGGCGAGGCGGAGTTTTCAAATTGACTAGAAAGAGAAAGGATGCCCTGAAGCCAGGCCTATTAGACTTCGACTGACGGAATTTTTGGAAAAACAGGAAATCTAACCGAGAAATTTGCGGACTTACCAGAACACGAATTTACTGTAAACTCACTAAGGACCTATGGAGAGGCTTAGAAATTATTTTAATCACCTCAGTTATTCAAATCAACAATGTGTATTCCTGTGCAGGCATTTCCCAATTGCACGACCTTAGAACAGCTACAAAGTTTCTATATACTTAAGAAACCTCTACTATAAAAGGAGGATATTAGTCCAGCCTCCTCAGATGCTGCTACGGTAGCATGAAGTTATCCAAGATCAAGTTGCCAGCACTCAGCAAGTAGGAGCAGGTTCTGCAGTAGCCACAGCTACTTACATTGTCCGATTCTCCGAGGTTTCCTTAAATTTTCACCTGAAGTGACAAAAAACGGACCACTAGTCCCCTCCTTCTGCTCCCCTTCTTGATCCCTTCTTTGAATAGTTTGCTCGTTGACAGAGCAACAATCCTCTAACCCACACTACAAATTCCAAGGAGAAGTGGACTGAGAGGTTCAACAGGATCAGAATCCAGGTGCCTTATCGGTGTCCACTCTCAAGAATTGTGCTTCCTTTTGATTTATCCTGTGTCATTTTTCTCTGTTTTCTTACAAGTGTTATAATCTGTCTTTTGTCCTTTTTCTTTATTCATCTCAATTATTCTCTTTAGTTCCTCTATGATCCTTACTCTCTCAAATGCCTTTCCCACTAATCCCACTCTTCCCTCATGTATTCTCTTGGGCTTCCTTTGCTCTCGTTCCTCTTACTTCGAAGAACCAGCACAGCCCAAATCTAGTATTGCGCTGGCTGGTTCTGTGTAAACTTGACACAAGCTAAAGTCATTTGAGAGGAAGAAACCTTAATTAAGAAAATGCCTCCATAACATCAGGCTGTAGGCAAATATGTAGCGTATTTTCTTAGTGATTGATGGGCTGGGCCATTTCTGGGCTAGTGGTCCAGGTTCTATTAAAACGCAGGCTGAGAAAGCCATGAAGAGCAAGCCAGTAAGCAGTAACTCCTCCATGGCCTCTGCATTAACTCCTGCTTCCAGGTTCCTGCTCTGTTTGAGTTCCTGCCCTGATTTCCTTCCATGATGAACAGCGGTACAGATAAGCCAAATGAACCCTTTCCTCCTCAACTTGCTTTGGTCATGGTGTTTCATCACAGCAATAGTAACCCGAAGACATTTGTGAAAGTCAGTGGAACCTGGGCTCAGTGGCTTGCACCTGTAATATCACACACAGAAGGCAGAGGCAGGAGGATTGTGCAAGTTTTAGGCTAGTGCCATCTATATAATGAGTTCCCAGCCAGGCTAGGTGTCCTAGTTCCTTTCTTATTGTGATAAATAAATACCATGCCCAAAAGCTACTTGGGAAGGAAAGGACTTGTTTAGCTTCCACTTCAGGTCACAGGTCACCTTGACCCAGTGAGATCAAGGCAAGAGTTTGAGGAGGAATTGAAGGAGAGACCATGGAGGACCACCCTGCTTTCTTGCCTGTTCAGTTGGCTCTTTTCCCAGGACCACTTACCCAGGGGTAGCACCACCCAACTAGGCTGGACTCTCCAGTGTCAATCACTAACTAAGAAAATGCCCCCATAGATTTGCCTACAGGCCAGTATGACAGACATTTTCTTAATTGAGGTTCCTTCATTCCCAGATGACTCCAAGTTGTATCAATTTAATAATAACAAGCACTCTGGGCTACACAGTAAAACTGTGTCTCAAGACAACACTAATAAGAACAAAAACAGAGAATAAGTAGGAAGGGTTTAAAGTAATTTCCTGTGACAGTAAAGATCCCCAGATATCCACAAAAGCTTTCTTGACATCTGGCTTTTGATGATTCTTAGGAAACAATCTTGACATTTAATTGGGACTCAGAAAAAAAAAAGATGTTAGCAGGCCCCCACATTAACTGGATTCCTGGCTAAGTAGCAGAACTACAGTAGCCTTGTTTTGATTCCATCTTTTCCTTCCTGGAGCTCTGTGAAGAAGTCATTCAGAATCTATTCACTTGCACAGGGTCACACAATTTGTCAGAGGCTCAGTCGGAACCAAGGTTAGTCTCATTCCTAGGTCCATGCTCCAAACCACTAAAGAACTAAAAAAAACCTCTAATATCACCACTCACATCTTGGTTTCATACTGTAAGGCCAGGCCTGCCTGCTTGAGACCAGACGGATCCTTTAAAGTAATAGATAGTCAATTCTGACAATGAATTGATGCCAATCTGGAATTAGTAAAGCCCTTAAAAGATTCCCCTGAGGTGGCCTTTAGCCAATTACTCCAAACTCACTTCCCTGGAAAGAATCTTTATATCTACCATGGGACCTCATTCCTGTAGGTCACAAGCATTAATATTTTTAATTATTCATGCCTGGGAATTAAATGAAACAAGCTCTGCTATCCAGCCCTGCTAACTTAAAACACTTCACAATCCAAGTTTTTTTTTTATACTTTTCCTGGGTACTTGATTATATATTTAGTAGAGAGAGAGAGAGACAGAGAAAGACAGAGAGAGAGAGAAAGTGCTAAAACACAAATAAACAGACTATATGATTCAATAATTTTGTTCTGGAGTAGGAATTTATACTATACCTGCTGTAACTCAGAAAAAAATTATAATTATATAAGGAGTTTGTCATGTGGGGAAGGAGGAAGAGTTTGGTTCCTTTTTTTTTGTAAACAGTTTTGTTTCTTAATTTTAAATGTATAGATGTTTTACCTTAATGTGTATCTGTACCACTTGTGTGCCTGCTACCTGTGGAAGCCAGAGGAGGCAAGTCAGATTTCTTGGAACCAGAGTTGCAGACAGTTAGTCACCACGCGGGTGCCCGGAATTGAACCCAGGTCCTCTGGAAGAGCGGCGGGTGGTCTTAACTGCTGAGCTGTCTCTCCATCTCCCAGTTCACTTTATCTTTGAATTTATGATTAGTACTAAGCGATACAAATTATACATTCATTCTCCCTTTAAAAATGTAAAATTCAGCGGGGAAGTAGTAGCACACACCTTTAATCCCAGCACTTGGGAGGCAGAGACGAGAGGATCTCTGTGAGTTCAAGGCCAGCCTGTTCTACAAAGTGAATTCCAGGATAGCCAGAGCTGTTACACAGAGAAACTATGTCTCAAAAAACCAAAATAATAATAATGTTAATAATAAATGTAAAATTCTCTTTTAACCAAAGTACAACTGTGACTCTCTTTTCTAAAGGTAATTTTTCCACCTATCTTTGCAGTCTCTTATATTTTGGCAGACATTTCCATGTATGCCTTGAATTTGTATTTAGACCTACTTTATATTTTTTCCTTACTGAGGACAAGTATATAGCCTGTCATCTTTGTTTGCATTAAAATATTCCCTCTTCCAGTCTAAAGAATATGATTATGAGCCATGAGTTTCAAAATTAAGCATTAAATTTAAAAGACAAGTTTTTCCCAAATTTTTTATTTATTTTTCTTTTTATTGAAAATAGATTGTTTTCGCACATACTATATCCTGATTACTGCTCCTCCCCCCCCACACACACACACTCCTCCCAGTTCCTTCCCAACTCCCCTCTCATCTGAATCCACTCCCTTTCTGTCTCTCGGCAGAAAAGAAAAGGTTTCTAAGAGACAATAATAAACTATGAAAAAATAAAATATAATAAGATAGAGAAAAAACAATCACATTAGAGTTGGACAAGGCAAACAGAAGGAAAAGAGCCCAAGAGAAGACACAAGAATCAGAGACCCACTCAGAAGTCCCATAAAAACATTAAACTGGAAACCATAATACCGTCACAGAGGACCTGGTAGAGACCCATGCCGGCCCTGTACATGCTGCTGCTGCAGTCCCTGTGAGTTCAAATGAGCTTTGCTTGTGTTGATTTAGAGGGCCTTGTTCTCTTGGTGTCCTCCTTCCCTTCGAGTTCCTACAGTCTTTCTAACTCCTCTTCTACGGGGTTTCCTGAGTTCTGACAATATCCCATTTAGGGCTGAGTTTATAAAAGACAAGTTTTTATAAACAATTCGGATTGTCTTGTGTGGTCTCCAAATGGTGAAATACCCCTTGCGTCCAGAAGGTGGCGAGCACCTGTGCAAGTCAAACAATGGAGTTTAAAGCAATTAAGGCTGTTTATACCTCTAGTTCATTCTATGAGCAGTTCGGGGGAAGGAACTAATCTCTTATACAGACTTTCCAAGCTAAAGCACCGTTACTGTGTTTAATTTTATTTTCTACTTTTATCACTTTAAAAGTTTCATTACTTTCTTAAAAAGACAACTTCTCAAGCTGTAGTTCAGGCTTGACTTAAACTCATTATGTAACCTAGGCTTACTTCACACTCACAGCAATCCTCCTGCCTCAGTCTTGAGTTCTGATTATAAGGGTAAGCCACCACACCCAGCAGGCCCTGTTATTTTTTTCATAGAAACCTTTTAAACTTTTACTCTATTCAAAGAAGTACAGGAAGATTTTTACAACAGAAATGGTATGTACACTATATTTCTCCTTTTAATTATCAAAGAATTACAATATCTCCCTTTTATTATAATTTTGTTAGAAATATGTGTTACTATATCCTTATTAGTTTCTAACATTAATGTTGTTATTTTAGCAAGAGAATTGAACAGGGCAATGATTCATTTTGAGAAAAGACCAAACAAATAAACAAACAAAAGACCCTAATCCTAGAACCGTGAACACAGATTACAAAACTAGATTAAGAAGAAAATAGTTAAAATACCAACTAAATTATTCTTTTCCTTGGGGTCCCCTTTTTTGTTTGAGACTGGGCTCACCCTGTAACCTGAATTGTTCTCAGATTCACAGGACTCCCCCTGCTT